CGCAGAAGTATTTGGTTTTTCTCTTCCCGTTACTTTTTCCCATCCACAGTCCGCTATCGAATTCTGCTCGCTTATGGGTGTCGATAAGTCATCTTCTGGGTAATTCATTTGCACACATCAAAAGTATCGCGTAAAAGTATCTCTGCATCAGCAGGGAAACGTCTACGTATCTAGACATAATTCTACATATGTCTATGACTACCACAAATTGTTTCAGTTGGGAGAAGCAAGGGCAAAATGAGGCGCGACAATGCTTACCTTACACAGACAGATGGCATTGCCAGTGTACGGTATGACGTCGCAACGTCGGGTGCCCAGGAGGTTACAGTAGGTGCTGCAGACGTCAATAGGCTCACATCTGCCAGCCTCGTCAGTGAGCGGCGTCTTCATGCCGAGCTCACTACTACCCGGAGCCGGAATCCACTGAAAGCCTGGAAGGCAGGTACACCTGAAGTCATTTATGAAGAGACCCTGTCCCGTGTGAAAGCATTCCTCACCAACTGCATTGCGAACACGAAGGCAGGGCAAGGTAGCGCAGGGATTTGGGCAGAAGCCAGTCGGTATGTCACTCGGCGCGAGATCCCTGTCCGCTCGCATGATTTTACAAACATGATAGATAAATGTTGCACTCAGCTCGTCCAGGTTTGTAGGTGCTTTCTCCTCAATGGATCGAGACTTCTCTTCGTCGCGTTTAAAGAAGTTTGCTTGCTCACTGACAGTTACCCAAAAGAGGAGCGTCCAGCCATGCATCACGAGCAGTCCTAGGGGCGGTGGCTTAATGCTCTGTGTTGAGTGCTGTAAGGCGTGAAAAATGGGTTGAAAGACTGCGGCTTTGCGCATCTTAGCGTCCCATTTCTTAAGGGTTGAGTACACGAAGCGCGTAATTCTCAGCGTCTTCCAAGATATGTGACCACCAATAAATCTATAAGGGTGTATCGAAGCCCTGTAGAGGCCAAATAAGGCAAGTCTGGGGATTGCATTACGCGGAGGATTGCGTCTGGTCACTGCCTTGGCCGTTTGCAGCAGGACTCTCACCATTTCATCTATTTGAAATGTTAGGGTGTGGGTCACGTTTTCATTGTTTCGATTAGGCACTTTTCGAAAAATAATGCTGTCGGCAAGTGTTCCCGCGCGTTTTAATGAAGAGGAAAATCCGAACTCACTGGCGCGCAATACCACATCCATCATATCACTGTATGGAGTGAATGCCGAGTAGTAGTAATTAATTTCAATAGCGCGCTTTGGCAGCATGAAGTCCAAGATGTCAATGTCCAGCTGTATGCGCTCCACATCCGAATTCCCTTCCCCAGACGATGCAAAGATGAGCAAAAAAAAGACGATAACCGAGGAGTCAACCGTGCCCATCCTAAGTGCTTCAATATGCACCTGTGTGACAAACAGCAGTTCTTTTTGAATGATTGCAAATTCAAAATCACAAAAGTCGATACGGTTTTAGGTGTCTGTGCTTCGCGCGTGAATAATCGATACTGCCTTGGCCAGGAGACACGTGCATACCTGAATGACGTACTGAATGCTGGTAAATCAGAACTGGCGGGCTTTTTTTCTGTCAGAACCCGCGAATTAGAGTATTCAGTAGGCCTCTATTGACACGAAAGGTCATGTTTTAAAACGGCACATTTTTTATTTACTAGTGCAAATCATCCCCCCTCACCCTGCCCAATGCCTACAGTTATATTAAGCAGGAAATGGGAAGTGTTCTAGCCCAAGTCAGATGTGCGAAAACCCTGAAGAAACTATTAACGGAAAGGCATCCGGTAACATTAGACACGCGTATGTCAAATCAGAACACAAACCGGAGTTAGCTTTTCTCTGCGTTACTACAGTTGATTGCATATCTGATGAAATGTGAAGAGCAACATTTTAAAAGGGGTGATTTAACACAAATTTGAATTGGTTTATTTTGTTCATTGAGTTGACTTGAGGTGCGAAATGCTGTTTACTAGAAAAGACTTCGGTTCAGATCAGTATACTGGGGGCAAAATGGGGTGGAATGGGCACCAAATCCAACGTTTGTTGCTATTAAAGGTATTTCTTACGCTTCTAAACGCCGTGGAAAAAAAACTCTTCTTGCTGCCTGTTATACTGTAAAAGAACATTAATAAAAAGCGTAAACTTTTTTAATTATATAAGTTCAGAGAACAGCAAGTTTTGTTTTGCGTTAATGAAGTTGAGGTGAGTGCAACTATAAGATAGCGCATTATGTTTTGGAAAATAAGAGCAAAATAAGTTGAAAAAATTAGATTTCGCAAATCTGCCAAGTTTTCTGCCATAAAATTGAGTAATAAACTTATAAGGCTGTTACTTGCTATACCCCACTTAAAAATTTATATTGTATATTTGAAGGGTTGCAGGCAACGAATGCGTATGAGGACATTATTAGTATAAAGTAACCAAATCGATTGTACAGTCGATAAAAAGTTGAAGACAGTTAACATAACACATATTTGGGCGAGTTTTCGCTTGGCATTGCGAAACAGTTTTCTCAAAAACGCCGTTTATATTATTGCCATTGTGCTCTGTATTTGTTATTGTAGAACTGAGCCCAGAAGTAACCAAATAAATTGAAACTGTTCCGGCTTAAATAGAAAAGTTAGGTCTTTCATTTATTACAGAAGATGTGTCCTTAATTTTTAGGAAAATCAATAAACTGCTAAAATTTCCCACTGTGATCTTGAATTAATCTTAAAAAAAAATTACGCATATACCTGGCGCCAAAATATACAACTAAAGCTATTTTTCAAGAGGAAACGTGTTACAGAAAATTTTTGAATCAATCTTACACATATCCATTCGCGACTTTTTTGTGAACGTTCGTTGTTTTCAGCAATAAGTTAACATTTTTGACTGGTTCTAAAACCATGAGCCGAGCAGGCAGATGCATAAGAAAGAATGTTCGCAAAATCGTTATATAGATAAATGCTTTTAAGGTATATCTTATTTGGAAGGTTTTATCAGGCACGTAGAATATAATCCTTACTTTTGGCTAATTGATTGAAATCAGTGAAAATCGTAGCATATAAAGGAAGATCTGAAGCTGTTCGTAATCGATATCCCAAAATAATTACAAAGAAAAGTGTAGGAAGGAATTTTATTCTATTGTACAAAAATGGTACATTCACAATTGCACCCGACAATTCCACTTAAATTTATTAGTCACTGGCCGGCATGTCTGCATGTGAGCTTACAAAATATCTTACTCCTGTGACTTCCCAATTGAGAACATCAAGCGAAAATGTCGTTGCTTGAGTCCAACCTAAATGAAGCAATGCATAAACGAAAGAAACAACTAGCAATTCTCGTGAAAACGTGTTGGAATATATACTCGAAATTTGGGCTGTTCGGTTACAGCCATGCATTACATCGCATATAATATGGAAGCATATGTATCCGAAAATTTTAAAATAGGATTTTTTTCCAACGCAATTTTACTTGTGCTGCTTTATTCACTCGGTGGTTTAGTATGAACAGACATCATCTACATGTTACACTTAAGTTTACCTAGTACACCCGATTTCCACTTTTTCGGAAGTTTCTGGTTTTCTAAAAAAACTGGTGTTTCTATAAAACTTTATATTCCTTCATAAATCGCAATATGGCCTATTGTGGAGAACGACCATTACTTTATGGCTGTAAGACTTTGGGGGCCGCAGCTTGGGCTGCGTTGGAGTAACACGCAGTTAGTTGTACAATTCCTTGGATTTCATCAGTTAGGTAACCTACTGTACAGCGGTTGCCTCGACCGAATTCAAACGCCTGATTCCAGACCACCTGAATCTCCCAGCCCCTGTTCCACCTTCTCTAACCGCTCCTACCCTTACCACCGCGACCCTAACTTTTCTGATGCCGGTAACTTTCGCACTTCGCGTAGCGGTCATCGAGTCCACTTTTCCAAACGGTTTATAACTCATGTGTTCTAACAGTGCATTAACCTTCAGCAACGCTGTCAGTTAGCCTTCGGTAGCCCTTTGCCATATTTGTATATATTTACATTTTTGTCGTACTTTCATTTATACACAACTTTCTAGACTAATTCTAACTGTTGCGCATTTCTGTAACTTGTATTTAACCCCTTTTGTTTAAGTTGGTGTAAAACTTTCACCCGCTGCACTTAAAGTGGTTTGAATTACGATTTTCAATAGCAGACATGTTCTTAGCGTGGAATAACAGCATCGTTTGCCTTTCTCATTAACTACATATCCGCCTAGGATAAAATTACTGGGAAAAAAAGAAAAATTCTGGACTATTCACTATACCTCCGCATAGGGAGCGGTGTATTTTGA